CTAGAGACAACAAAGTCAAATAACTGTTCAAGTTGATTACTCTTTTCAGCTCTGTACTTGGTTGCCAAGGGTAATTTTGTTATCATGACTTCCTTTTCCTTCTCTCCACCCTGAAGAAAATTCCACATAGAGTTTTGTAAGTCTAGTTAGTATTCTTGCATTTATACAATCTATTCTCAACCAACGTTTCAGAAAATGTCTTTTAAATGTAAGCAAATGCATTCAACTTTTCTGCCCAAATCCATGCATACAATGTCTTACCAGCATAATCAAAGTAAATGCAAAAATTCTTAAAAGGCCTAGAAAGCTCTACTTCATCTGTGCTACATGAACTTCTCCTAGATTTTCTCCCACATTTTTTCCTCCAATTTTAATAATGCCTTTGTTCATCCTCAGTTACTTGCTGTTTGCTCTCACTTTAAGCTTTTTTCTAAGCCATGTTCATTGAGGTATAATTTACTTTCAGTACAATTCAGCTTTTTCCAGATGTACATTTCTATGAATTTTGTTGACCTAGCATAGTCATGCAACCACCACTATAATGAAGACATAGAAGATTTTCATCAACCTAAAAATTTCTCTCCGGACTTTCTTTAGTCAATACCTTCCTCTAACCCAAGCCATTAGAAACCACTATATGGCTTCTACCCCTTTTACACGATGTTACATAAATAGCATCATTTGATAAGTAGTGATTTGAGTCTGGCTTCCTTAACTTAGCATAATGTTATTTCATGTTGCAATACTTTGTTCCTTGTTAGTGAAAAATTTTTTTGGCTTTATCTCAAAGTTTTGGCACTTTAATTCTGTTAAATGTTTATTTTAAATAATTTACCTTCTATTTCCATTCAAATTAAGTTTTAGCATCTCTCTGTTAGCATGTAAGCAGTTTCACTACTCTTGATTCACTATTTCTTAGAATGATAGGCAATATTTCTCAGAAGAAGTAATGGATAGCCTTTAGGTCCCTCAATAGCCCACATCAAAAAACTCATCAATTCTACTTTTCCTCCTGATTGCAAATGCCTTAAATAAAGCTCTCAATATTCCTTATATGGATTATTTAAATATCTTACTTATTGGTTTCCTTATCTCGAATATTGTTTCATGGTGAAATTAAGTAGGTGAAATTGATCAGGTACAATCCAGGGTCACCAAGATTCTAATAGTATTTCTTCAGACTGCTAGCTAATGCTCTTATTCACCAAGAAACAAACCAAACTCACTGCTGTTGAGTCAATTTGACTCATACCTCTCTCTCCTTGGGTTTCCAAGGTGCTAACTCTATAGAAGCAGATTGTCCAATTTTCCTTCCCAGGAGTGGCACCCAGCTCTTGAATAGATAGTAGCTAAAGCAAATGGAAGAAATGGCAAGATAAAAGAGGAGAACAGAAGATTTCAAAGAGCAGCTCAAGAAGTCAAAGTCAATTATTATAATCAAATATGTAAAGACCTTTAGTTGGAAAACCAAAAAGGAAGAACATGTTTGGCATTTCTCAAGATAAAAGAACTGAAGAAAAATTCAATTCTCAAGTTGCGATATTGAGAGATTCTATGGGCAAAACGTTGAATGATTCAGGAAACATCAAAAAAGATGGAAGGAATACACAGTCACTGTACCAAAAAGAATTGGTCAATGTTCATCCATTTCAGGAGGTGGCATATGATCAACAACTGGTGGTATTGAATGAAGAAGTCGAAGCTACACTGAAGGAAATGACGAAAAATAAGTCTCCAGGAAGTGACGGAATAATCATTGACATGTTTCAACAGACACTACACTGTAGGCACTTACTCTTCTATGCCAGGAGATTTGGAAGACAGCTATCTGGCCAACTGGCTGGAAGAGATTCATATTTGTACCTCTTCCAAAGAAAAGTGATCCCACAAAATGTGGAAATTATGGAACAATGTCATAAATATCACACACAAGTAAAATTTTGCTGAAGATAATTCAAAAATGGTTTCAGCAGTTTATTGACAGTCAACTTCCAGAAATGCAAGCTGGATTCAGAAGAGGATGTGGAATGAAGGCTAGCATTGCTAATGTCAGATGGATCTTGGCTGAAAGCAAAGAATATCAGAAAGATGTTTACTTGTGTTTTACTGACTATGCAAAAGCATTTGATTTTTGTATCATAAGAAATTATGGATAACGTTGAGACAAACGAGAATTCTGGAGCACTTAATTGTGTTCATGAGGAACTTGTACATAGACTAGCAGGCTGTGATTCAAACAGAACAAGTGGATATTGCACAGTTTAAAATCAGGAAGGGAGGGCAACAGGGTTGTATTCTTTCACCACACTTATTCAATCTGTATGCTAAGCAAATGATCTGAGAAGGTGGACTGTTTGAAGAAGAGCATGGCATCAGGATTGGAGGAAGACTCATTAACAATCTGTGATCCACAGATGACATGGTCTTTATTGCTGAATGTGAAGATGACTTGATGCATTTACTGATGAAGATAAAGACTACAGTCTGCAGAATGGATTACAGTGCAACATCCAAAAAACAAAAATCCTCATAACTGGACCAATAAGTAACATCACAATAAATAGAGACAAGATTGAAGTTAAAGATTTCATATTACTTGGTTCTACAATCCACACCAATGGAAGCAACTGTCAAGAAATCAGATGACATATTGTTGGGCAAATCTGCTGAAAAGACTTCTTTAAAGTGCTGAAGAGGAAAGATGTCTCTTTGTAGACTAAGGTGTGCCTAACCCAAGCCTTGGTGTTTTCAATTGCCTCATATGCATGTGAAAGCTGGACAATGATTAAGGAAGACTGAAGAAAAGTTAATGCTTTTGAGTTCTGGTGTTGGTGAAGAATAACAGAATTACATACCATGGACTGCCAGAAGAACTAACAAATCTGTTCTGGAAGAAGTGAAATCAGAATGCTCCTTGGAAGTGAGAATGGCAAGACTTTGTTTCACCTATTTTGTCATGTTGTCATTAGGGATCATTCCCTGGAGAAGGATAGCATGCTTGGTAAAGTAGAGGGTGAGCAAAAAAGGGCAAGGCTCTTAATGAGATGTATTGACACAGGGGCTGCAGTGATGGGCTCAGGCATAGCAAGGATTGTGAGTCTGGCGCTGGACCAGGCAGTGTTTCATTCTGTTGTACATAGTGTTGCAATGAGTCCAGGCTGACTCAAGGGTGCCTAACAACAACAACATATATATGTGAAAGCTGAATAATGAATATGGAAGATTGAAGAAGATTTTAATCATTTGAACTATGGTGTTGGTGAAGAGTATTGAATATGACATAGACTGCCAGAAAAATTAACAAATATGTATTAGAAGAAGTACAACTAGAATGTTCCTTAAAATCAAGGATGGTGAGACTTTGTCTCATGTATATTGGACATGTTGTGAGCAATGTTATAATCATTTCTAGAATAATCAATGTAATAATAATTTATTTTTCTTTCTAGATTCTGAGTTATTTGAATTTTTTTTGAAAGTTAGAGGTTAAAATAATTCCACATTTCATCTGAATTGGACAAAGAGCCTTAGAAAGTAAAATCAATAAAAATAGTTAGAAGGTTTCTATTCTAATTTACTTAAACCCACCCAAAACCCACTGCCATCAAGTCAATTCAATTCTGACCCATAGTGATTCTATAGGACAGAGTAGTAGTGTCTCATTGGGTTTCCAAGACTGTAAATCTTTATGGAAGTAGACTGCCACATCTCCAGAGTGGCTAAAGGATTTGAATCACCAACTTGGTTAGCAGCCAGGATCTTTAACCACTGTACCACCAAAGCTCCTTAATTTACCTAAAGTATGAGTATAATATATCCATTAATGTGGAATAGTAATATACTTTGTCACTTTCATAAGGGCAAAACAACACTTTTGTTACTTGTGGATTATTATAAATGTTGTTTTCTCCTCAAATGAGATAAAAGATGATATACTGAAAACTTCCAACTACAATAATAACTTTAAAATTGTCATAAACACAAATACTATTAATCATTTTCATATCTTTAATAGAGGCTCAAAGAACTGAAACAAAGAGAATTTGCTCGAAATGTAGCATCTAAATCCTGGAAAGATGAAAGAAAACAGGAAAAGGCACTTCAACGTCTGCACAAGCTTGCAGAGCTGAGAAAGGAAACTGTGTGGTGAGTATTCAGTAAAATATTATTTTCTTTAAACATGACAACAAAAATGGTAAGAAGAAATAAAGGGTATAAATGCATTTACATCTGTATCCAGAATGAGGCAGACACATTTTCATCGCTTTTTGTGGGTTACAAACTGTAATTTGAATTTCAATTTTATGCAAAAACCTATTTAATGCACACTTCAATAAAAAGCCGCAATTACTATAATTTTAGTTTGTAAAAAAAAAAAAAAATGAATCTCAAATTACTCTCTTATTTAAGCTATATTAGTTGAAAGCTTTTCAGATTTTTGGTGAAATTCAAAATATTCAGTTGATGAAGAAGGCATAGCATGGTCTCTTGACCTTTGTTATATGTGGAGTTTTAAGAGGAATTTATTTTTTAACTTTAAGAACTTTTATTTAAGATAATCTTTAAGATTAAAAAAAAAAAAATCAGAAAGACCCTGTGAACTTCAGAGGCAGGTCAGAGTTAATTTCCCAGTGAATTAACTAAAAGTGGACTGGTAGTAATTCACAACTCTTAAACTTTGACCTGCTTCTGACAGTGACCAGCTGTTAGATGTGAACAGTGTTACATTTCAGAACTTGAATTCAGGCCAGTACAACTTATAAAAAAATAACTTTTTATAGTGTCTCCCCTCAATAAATAAACCCTATCTAATTATCATCTAAAACAAATACATTATACAAGCCTAGTTTATATACAATAGTGTTATGGTGGTATTTTGGTATATCAAAATGTTGTTTGGGATGTCAAAATTTGGAAAAATAAAAATAAAATTTAAATGTATTTGGAATCCTATATGGAATTTTTAAAAACAAACATAACTGCATTTATTACAAGTAGGAACAGATCTTCAAATACAGCTATCCAGTTATACCAACTAGGTATTTTTACCATTTGGTAATAAATGGAAACATTATACAAGTGTAAGTTTACAGAATTGTAGGATCTGTGTTATTCATTGCCCTGTAAGTAGCCTTTGCAATGTAAATTCTAATATATAAAGGAATTAAAGTTAATAAAAAGATATGTATTTTAAAAAGCAATACTTCTTATATGAATTACTTTCCTTAGTATACAGTGCAGATTTCAAAATATATTTATTTCCCATTAATTCTGTGCCTCTAAAGATGTGCAAAATAGAAAGTGGTACTACTTCTTAATATCAGTTAAGGCAATATAGTACTCCACAGTATTAACAATTAGAAAAGGAAATATTCATCTGTCAAAGTGTTGGGCCATTTATAACTCCAAAGAAACTGAATTTTGAGAACATGGAAAATTGTGCACAACAATATTCTCTTAGGGTAAGACACCGTTTAGAGATTTCTTATGTTTATGTGCTGAGCAATATCATTTTTTAAAATCAGAACTCACTATTTATGCTGTGCTGTAATACTAAATAAATAGAATTCACTTTGTTGTTGTTGTTGTTATTTGCCGTCGAGTCGGCCCCTACTCATAGCGACCCCTCCTTGGGTTTCCCAGGCTGTATCACTACGGAAGTAGGATTGCCCCATCTTCCTTCTGAGGAGTGGCTGGTGGGTTTGAACCGCCAGCCTTCTGGTTAGCAGTCAAGTGCCATAGGCACTATACTACCAGAATTCACTTTAGGTGGTCATTTATCCTATATTTAATATATAACTTGATATAATTTGTAACTTTATTATAAGTTTTAAATATTAAGAATAGCAATTCTGTAAGACTCAACGCTCTCTTCAAGCTAGTGTGATCTCTATTTACCTTTGCATCACAGCATACGGATTGGTCTGTGGTAGACTGTCAGTGAATATTGGTTGAATTAAATTGTGAACCTGAATTCTCAGCTCTTCTGAAGTCACAATTGAGGTTTTTGTTTTGATTTGGTTCATTTTTTTAACTTTCTTTATAGTCTCATATAGTATCTATGATGTTAAGTATTTATAAGTTAAAATAATTTTATTTTGTAGAATATTACACCCATTTGATATGTCACTGAAGAGGTCATGGGGGTCAAAATCTAAGTAAGGAAGCACTGTTGAAGAGTGTAGAAATGGCCTGTGGAAGTAGCTTCCAAACAACAATTCCAAGTTCTCAATAATAATAACCTTATAACTGAAAGAAATTGTGGTACTGAAGAAAGCTATTAAATCATGTGAAATTAAATGGAGAATTATATATTCACTTAAAAGGTTTATAAAACTGAAAAAGAAAATGTTAAAGTGACATTTCAAAGATGTAAGTGTTTGGATATTTTTTTCTTAAGTGTATTATCTAACATAAACTTCGTTTCTTTTTGTAGTGCTCCTGGAAGTGGCCCCATGTTCAAGTCAACAACTGTTACCGTGAGAGAAAATCTTAATGAAATTTCACGACGAGTTGTTGTGGATTCAATTAATAACCCAGAAGAATTCAAATACACTTTGATTCATAGTGAAGAGAATTCTAAAGATGTTACTGCTGTTACTGCAGATCCAGAAAGCACAAATAATTATACAGCAAAAAATACCCAACTTGGGGATCAAGCCCTGGGAATTCAGAGACATAAAATTGGCTTTTCTTTTGCATTTCCAAAGAAAGCATCAGTGAAGCTGGAGTCCTCAGCTGCAGCCTTTTCTGAATACAATGATGATGCCTCTGTGGCAAAAGGACTTAGCAGAAAAAGTAGGTTTGTCCCTGGTGCTTGTCATCTTCAACTATCTTCACCAACAGATGTGCTTTTGAGTTCTGAGGAAAAAGCTAACACTTTTCATCCACCTGAGGCAAGATGCTCTGACAAAGAAAAAATGCTTCAAACTCAAGAGATGAAAGAAGTCTCCAGCACAAAAGATATGTCATTGTTACCTTCATTTTGCCAAGTTCAACTCTCTTTATCTTCTGATGCAGAAGATTGCCAAAATTCAGTCCCAATAGTAGATAAAATACCACCAGAAGATGTTATTAGTACTGAAGACATAACTATGAATTGTAGCAGCTCTGAGTTGTTAGGAAATAAATCCACAGTTCTTGACATGCCTAACGATTGCTTATCTTGGCAAGCTACCACAGAAGAAAATATTAAGAACAATGACACATCCACAAATGAGGTTGCAAGTAAAAATCATGATTCTGAGATTTTGGTCCTTTCAAATACTGAAGAGGAAAATACAAACTTACGTAAAAAATCAGATTTATGTAAAAGACAATGTGAGCCATTTGTACCTGTACTTAACAAACATGGATCAACAGTTCTTCAGTGGCCATCGGAAATGCTCATTTATACAACCACTCAACCATCAATCTCTTATAGCTGCAATCCCCTCTGTTTTGACTTCAAGTCCACAAAATTCAATAACAATCCAGATAAAAATAAACTGCCCTTAAAGGATCTTTGCTCTCAGCAAAAGGGAGAGGACATTTGCAAGGGCCCAGATTCAGAGTACAAGGACACATCTGTCACAGGACTCAATGATTATGAAATTGTAGATAGTAGAAAAGAATATACCCAAGTCACTCCTCTTTTAGCTGATGAAAGTGTCTCCAAAAGTTATTATACTGGAAAAAAAGGGAATATGGATCTGAGATTTAAAAATGTTTCCTGTAAAATCAGAAACACAGAAAAATATAATTTTGCTAAAAAGCAAATAAAACAAGACATTCTAGATGAGAAATACAACAAAATACGGTTAAAAGATACTCATGAACATTGGTTCCATAAGAGTAGAAGGAAAAAAAGAAAAAGAAAGTTATGTCAGCATCATCATGGGGAGAAAACCAAAGAATTAGAATCTCACTTAAAAATGGAAATGGAGAATAACTACATTGATAAAACTAGGACAAATCTACTGGAAACAATTTCAGAAAAGCAGTATTTAGCTGCAGAACAATTATCAGAATCACATCACTTACCTGGTAAAAGGCCCAAATCAGCATCCATATGCCTAAGTGAAAATGAAGAAATGTGTAAAACTTGGAACACCAAATACAGTAATAGTGATGCTGTCAGTTCTAAAACTCACTGTAGAAAAAATACAATTGTTTTAAACAGACAATCAAATCCAACCATGACACATTCTGGCAAACATAATTTAACATATTCCAGAACTTTCTGTAGTTGGAAAACCAAAAAGTCAAGCTGTAGCCAGGATCACAAATGTTTAGTTCTTCAAAATGGCATAGAATGCATGGGTCAGAATCAGGCTGTTAAACGAGGTTATACTTCTCTCGAAGCAGAAAGATTCCATCGAAAACGTAGACAGCATTCATATTCTTATTCTTCAGATGAAAGTTTGCATCATCAAAATTATTTACCAGAGGAAATTTTAAGGCCACCAACTCTCTGTAAGCCTAGAAAGAAACGGAGGAGAAAAAGAAGCAAATTCCATACTAGATATGAAGGTTTGGAACTTAAAGAGAATTCATATTGTCTCATGAAAGACAATTCTTGTTTAAGCAACCTGAATGAGTTAATAAATGAAGACAAAAAGGAGGGAATAAAACCAAAAGAAGTTACAAATATTGAGAGAAACTCAGAAAACACAGACCAAGTAGAAAACAACATGACTTTGAACTCCAGCAGTCTTCTTCCTCCTGAAACCAATAGTGAAGCTGAACATGTCATTATGGAGACAATTTCTAGTGACTTTTCAGAGGTTTCCAGTGATCCTACCACACCTCTCTATGTAGCCAGTGTTCCAACAAAAGTAGCAATTGAAAATACCTTGCTCGAACACAAGAAAACATGTGAAACTATCAATATTAATGAAAAACAAACTCCTTCCAAGGTGCCCAATATTGAAAGGAACTTTAGACAGCCACAATCTAAATCATACCTTTGCCATTATGAACTGGCTGAAGCCTTTCCACAAGGAAAGAAGAATGAGGCATCAACTGAATGGCTACGGTATAATTCAGGAATCCTTAATACTCAACCACCACTAGGATTCAAAGACACACACGTCAGTGGTCATACTTTTGTAACAACTGAGCAAATTCTGGCTCCATTAGCTTTACCAGAACAAGCATTATTAATCCCTCTAGATAACCATGACAAGTTCAAAGATCTACCATGTGAGGCCTACCAGCACATCATACAGCCCAATATACTGGCCAACAAGGTCAAGTTTACCTTTCCTCCAGCCACCCTCCCACCCCCCGGCACACCTCTGCAGCCTTTGCCTCTGCAACAGCCTTTATGTTCTACCTCTGTAACCATCAACCACACTGTTTTGCAGCAGCATGCAGCAGCTGCAGCAGCCGCAGCCGCAGCAGCAGCTGCAGGGACCTTTAAAGTGCTTCAGCCACACCAACAGTTTCTTTCCCAAGTCCCAGCTCTACCCAGAGCATCGTTACCTCAGATCTCAGTAGGACCAAGGCTTTGTCCTGGCAACCACCCAACTTTTGTGGCTCCGCCTCAAATGTCAATCATTCCTGCTTCAGTTCTTCATCCTGGTCATCTGGCTTTCCCACCTTTGCCCCATGCACTCTTTCCTTCACTTCTTTCCCCACACCCTACTGTCATCTCTCTGCAACCTCTCTTCTAGTCATCAGCACCACAAAGAGGAAAGGAAATACCCTTGTGAAAACTATTGCTATATGCGTAAGTGCTCATCTACGTGGATAAATGGCTCTATAAATGGTGAAATCAAACTGGTCAAAATATGACCTCACTGATTTGAAATCCTTTACTGTAAGTGTAATGATGCAAATATATTCTTAAGTTTCTGATATATATTATTAAAGCACTGAATAGTTTGAAAATCAATACAATATATGCTGTATATTAAAATGATGTCTTAAGAGTATGTATAATGTACATAAAATATATTTATAGTACTGTAATTTATGTTGTAAAGTATGTTCTTTGGTTTTTTTAATCTTTGTGTATTTGCACCTATTTAATGTTTAGACAAAGCTGATGGCACTATGTTTTGTACCATGTTCCTTGAAACTGTAAATTCAGTGAAAAAATATCTCTTGCAATAAATTTTTGTTAACTATTTAAGTAAATCTAACTTCTGTTTTTAGTTTTTCACTGTTTTAGGAATATTTAGTAAGAGCAGATTTAGGATTTATATTGACTCTTCTGTTCATTGTATCTCTGAACCACAAAAGCTCTGCAAAATATCATTGATGTTCTATTAATACTTAAAATATGATACATCTTGTTATAATATGATATCATGTGTCTAAAAGGTCATTTGTTGTTTTATTTGAGCTAATGTTGCTTATACTTAGAATTCACTATATTTCCTGAATGAATAACTGTCTTCAGACGATATACCATAAAATTTATATAACATAATACTAACATTTTTGGGAAAATAACAAAAAACATACACAGTACTTAGATTCCCTGCAGTACTTGTAAAACAGTACTTACTAGCGCAGACAAAATGGCAAATAATCAATACAACTATTTATAACACATTTTTGTATTTGAAAATTCTCAAACTCTATATGTTTATTTTTAGTTGTTACAGGAAATATACATGTATAAGAAAGTTGGCATTAATTGAGGAATAGATTTAATATTCATCACACAACTCATAATGGAGGGTTTGGAAATGAGGTGGAGAGTCAATTCATTCTCTAATATGGTGGCATCATATTTCCTTCTCACCCGGGAATTAGAAAGCCTCCTCAGCAACCTTCCAGATTCTTTATTCAACATCAATGAATGGCATTCAAATGCTTCATTCAAATGCTTTTATGTGGGCTGAAAAGTGGAATTACTCAATAGAAAACTAGGACACATTACACTTTTACCAAGAATGTTTTCTAAAATGTACCTGTCCCAGTCCATGACATTTGGTAAGACAAAGTCCATGCCTGTTAAACTGGATTTAATTTTCCATTGTCAAATCATAAAGAGAACATTATGTCAACTTGTAAATAAGACCAGTCATCAGCAAATCAAAAACCAAACTCACTGCCATCAAGTTGATTCCTTCTCATAGTGACCCCCTTTGGGTTTCTGAGTCAGTGAATCTTTCCAGAAGTAGTCTTCCTTCTGCAGAGTGGCTGGTGCATTTGAGCCTCCAGCCTTCTGCTTAGCAGTCAAATGCCTTAGGCACTATGCCACAACAGCTCCTTCCAGTCATCAGAGGGACCTAGTTAGTCCTTCTAAAGGGTGAGCAACTTTTTAGTGATTCTCTACTGAGAAAATGTTATTTCTCTGGCTGTCACGTTGCTATTAGTAGCTGTTCAGTTGGCTCCAAATTATAGTGATCCTATGTACAACAGAATGGAATGATACCTAGGCCTGAACTAAGTTATCTTAACTAATTTAAACATCACAATATTGTCCAGTATCAGAATAATCTATAATGAATTATATGTAAGGAAATTAAGGGAAAATATAGGTCATTTATTTTCTTCATTATTTTCCATAATAACCATTGATTTAAATGTTCTATAAATGGTTGTGAATGACTGAACATTACTTTCATGGCTGAAAAATAAGATAAAAATATCAAGAAAAGTAATCTCATTTCAAATGCTGTGAGATACTATGTACCAAAAATAGGAACTGAAATTGGACAGGTTGATTTTTTTCCCTCCAAGTAAAATATTTGAAATTATCTTTCAAAAGAAAATACAAAACCTATCTACTAGGGAGTTTGTTCATCTGCCTGAGCAGGGTTGTTGTTTTGCTGTTTAAGATGAAGCCATGTTTGGCTTTTAAATATGCATATTTCCCCCCTTCTTTTCATCTTTTTCTGACTATCATTCAGCATGTTAGCATCTTACCTTTTGCATTTATCCTTTAATTAAATTTACCTGAACTTTCCCTCCTTAATTTCATTGAAGTCAGTTTCCACCACCCCCCTTATGTCTTCCTCTTCTTCTTTCTACATGGTATCATGTTTTTTTTGGGGGGAAGATGCAGCTGTTTTACACTTTTATTTTTTAATTAAATTTCTCTGCATTTTTTTTTTCTGTTAAAATGATGCTTAATAGACCTATTGAACTTCTTACTTCAAGCAGGTTGCAGCTCATTGACTATGTGTCTCATAGGAATTCCTGAACATTTTAAGGAGGGAAGTTCTCCGTTAAGGTTAATAGAAATTTAAATGAATACAGAGAAATTGATTGATTCTCATGGACATCAGTGACTCAATAGGAAACGTGAGCCTTATTTGAGAATGCCGGACATCCTCTTTTTTTTATTTATAACATTTTACTGTGGTCTGGGTAAAAATTCACAGAGCAAATTAGCTTTCCATTCAACAATTTATACACATTTTGTTTCATGATGTCTCAAAGCAAAACATGTCAGAGTCTGGTTGAAATTAAAAGTAAAGAGATTTTATTGAGGAGGAAGGCCATCTGCAAATTGAGAATCACAATGTCCAGAGGATTATGAACTGAGTGATGACAAAGAGGAGACAGTTCAGAGAGTTTACATAAGAGAATATCGGAACTTCAGTAAAAATTTAAGGATTGGTTGACATTTAGGTAATGGTTACAAAATTGAGTGATGGTACATCTGATTGTTGGAGATTATATATATTTTTAAAATTGTTTCTTAAATTTATGAAGTAATTATTGAATGGGGTACATCTGGCCTCAAAACAATCATTAGAACCTTCTTGTGTGACTGCAGGGAGAACATAAGTAATTCTAAAGTTTGCTTTGAGTAGGCATCTGTTCTGAGAATTCTTTTGGACCTTGATTCCTAGGCAGCAAACAATACCTGTAAAATTACATTTTTTTTTTTTTTAAATATTCACCAAGTAATTTTCTTAGGGTACAATGGAGAGTTACAGGAATAAGAGGCTATGTTTTTGATGTGGAGGTTAGTTTTGATTTAAAATAGAGTTTTAACCTCAGATCCTAGCATAGCCACCATCTCATGCTGGGAGTCCTAAGTTAATTTGGAGTCCAGTCCCCTCAGTGTAACAACACTCTTCCCCCCTCTTCCTGGGGTTCCCCATTTCCATTCTTCCTTCTTTCTTTTTTGCCACTTCCTGGCTTATGAACTTTGTTTTTGTTTTTTTGTGGTTAATTGTTAGTTACTAGTCTTTACTTTATAGGCCTGTGGAAGGAAGGTTGGGCAATCCTACTTCCATAGTGATACTGCCTCGGAAACCCAAGGAGGGGTTACTGTGAGTCGGGTTTGACTCGGTGGCGCATAACAACATATTGTTTGCCTAAAAGTTCAGCAATGGGAGTGAGTTCAGTTCCAGGCTTAAAGGGTATCTAAGAGTCATAGTTTTGGGGTTCCACCAGTCTTTCTCAGACCAGTAAGTCTGGTATTTTTATGATATCGAGTTTTGTTCTACATTTTTCTCCTATGCTGTTCATGACATTCCATTGTGATCCTACTGAGAGCAGTTGGTGGTGGTAGCCAGCACCATCTAATCTGATCTTCTGATCTCAGGGTAGTGGAGGCTGAAGTGTTGGTTGTCCATCACTCCTTTGAACTAACTGTTTCCCTGTGTCTTTGATTTTCTTCACTCTTCTTTGGGTGGACAAGGGGAGACAAATAGTTACATCTTAGATGGCTTCTCACAAGCTTTTAATACGCTAGTCACTACTCATCAAGGTAGGATGTAGAATATTTTCTTTGTGGATTACGTTATGCTAGTTGGCCAAAATGTCCTTCAAGACTATGGTGCTCAGTCTTCAAACCCAGCAATTCATTCCCTCAAGTTGCTTGGTTATGTTTAAGAAATTTTCATAACTGAGCCCTCTGTATAGTGTTGTTGTTAGGTGCCATCGAGTCAGCTCTGATTCATAGCCACCCTGTGTGCAACACTGCCCCGTCCCATGACAGCCTCACAATCTTTGATATATCTGAGCCCATCATTGCAGCCACTGTATCAATCCATCTCATTGAGGGTCTTCCCCTTTTTCATTGATCCTCTATTTTACCAAGCATGATATCCTTCTCCAAGGACTGGTCCCTTCCAACAACATGACCAAAGTAGATGAGATGAAGTATGGCCATTCTTGCTTACAAGGAGAATTCCAACTGCACTTCCTCCAGGACAGATTTGTTAGTTCTTCTGGCAGTCCGTGGGACTTTCCATATTCTTCACCAACACCACAACTCAAAAGCATCAACTTCTTTTGTCTTCCTTACTCATTGCCCAGCTTTCACATGCATATGAAGTGATTGAAAATATCATGGCTTGGGTTAGGTGCACCTTCATCTTCAAAGAGATATCTTCGCTCTTCAACAGTTTAAAGAGGTCTTTTGCAGCAAATTCACCCAGTGCAATACATCTGATTACCTGACTGTTGCTTCCACTGGTGTTGATTGTGGAACCAAGTAATATGAAAGTAATATGAAATGTTAAATGTTTGCAGCACATAACAAATTGTTAGGTGCTGTTGAGTTGGTTTTGACTCATAGCAACCCAGTGTACAACAGAACAAAGACACAGCCCTGTAATCTGTGATCTTCATCAGCAAGTGCTTCAAGTTTTCATTTTCAGCAAGCAAAGTTGTGTCATCTGCATTTGTTAATGAGTCTTCCTCCAATCTTGATGCCTTGTTCTTCTTCATGTACTCCAGCTTGTTAGATTATTTGCTC